GTGTAGTGACCACATTTGTCAGTGCAGTGACGGGTGTTGAAATCGTAGCTGCTGACTTCATTATACCAGTCAGTCAGAGCTGTGTGCACAGAAAAGATGATGGCGGTGCCAGTCCAGATGTTTTCTCCAATAGATGTAAAGGTGGGGTGCATCTTCCGTGGTATTTTAAGGTAGATATTGTGCTCAAACATGCACCTCTTTGCCCATGCTTTAGCAGACTTAGCTAAAGCAGGGTCCCAGGACTGTAGAAAGGAATGAAAATACAATGTAATCTGAACTGCAGTGAGTTAGTTGGATTCAAGTATTCTTAAAGAGAAGATTGCAGTTTTTTTCCCTTGCAGTCAGCTTCTTTGTCTTGTCATTTCTACTCTCAAAGCAAGAAATTTTCTTCTTCTTTCTCCCTCAGATATTACTGAACATGAAACACCTCTCACTGTTCTGTAGTATCTGACTTGTTACAATGCTTAGAGCTGGACTGCAGTGTTTAAGCTGTCATGTCTGCGTGGAGACTGGTATGTGAGACTTGCAGAAAGATTTATGCCACCAGGCAATAAAATGGCAAGTAAAAGTAGGTATGGAAAAATAAATAAGTTAAAATAAGTAAGTGAAGGGATGTGAGAAAAAAAAAAAAAAAGAATTTTAGCTTTGTGTTCATAATGATAGGTTCGGAGCTGACCATTTGTACTCATAAATCAATGCTGAGTAGTACTATGAATGACAGAGTTTTAGAAATTCCTTGAGAAGGAATGGAGAATGAAAAAAAATATATAAGTACACCACTGTAGAAGTCGTGTTAAAAACAGTGCACAGTACCTCACTTTAAGGAGACGTTGGAACTGGAAGGGATGCAGAGAACATAGGAGAGCATGATCATCCTAAGAATGGAAGGCTTTCATAAAGCAACATCCTACGCAGCAGGTTTTATCTTGTGTTAAGTATGCAAACAAGCAATGATCACTTGCTCTTTCCAATACAGGCACCAGAGCCAATGAGAGAAAGCTAGTAGTTAACAAAAGCAAATAAAATGCTGGGAGATATCATCACACAGCTTGTAGGTAGACTGTGCAGCTCTTTGCTGCAAGTTGTTAAGGATGATAAAAACTTGCAGAGGCTGAAAAAAGTCATGCAAGAAAAGTCCATTGTGAGCTTTCAAACACAATGTAACAGGTTTCTTTATATTTGTCCTTCTCTTATTTCAGCATTGCCGGATCTTTGGTCCGAGCACCTAAGTTTGCTCTGGTTCTTTTGCATTATCAATTAAATATAGATAGATTTAACAGAGTTCCAAGAAATTAAAATCATGAGTAGTATGAATGTTACTTCTTTGCTGTGATCTTCCTTACATAGAAATGACTCATAGCATTTATGTGATTATGCATTTAGCTTCCGTTTCAGCTAAGCAGCACTGCCGGAAGGCTCAAAGTAATGGCATGAGCTGACTGGGGTTCTCTCTCCCACCTATCTGTCTTCTCCTTACACACTCCATTGAGCAAGCTAAGACTGATACACAGCCTGTTCTGACATCCATTACATTTATGGGGAGATCTGCTTTCTAATCCAGATTCTAGCACCCCTGCTCTCCAAGCCCTGTTGCAGCAAATCAAGATGAGGCATCTATTTGAATGTCCAAGCAAATCTCTTTCTTTAGTACGTATTCTCGATTGGAAGAAAGAAGGCAAGAGACTAGATTTCCAAAAAACCCTGTGGTACAGATTGCCTTCCAGGAGTTTTTTAATACCAAACAGATTTCTTATAAGAAAACTGGACTAATATAAGGAAGATTACTGTCTCTCTCTGAAAAAGATAAATGAAATGCTGAGAACTGAACATTGTATATATTTTATTCAAATACAGTCCTTAGCTGTGGTTGACAATTAGAGCAACAATCTGTTCTTATACAAGAAATCCCCTTCCAATTATTAAGATAAAACAGTACTGTGAAAATGAATTGCTTTCTATTTCCTACGAAGAATGATCATACATAGTACAGAAATCACTGACAAAAAGGGAAAGAAAAGCACAGAGGAAATGGAAACAAGGATGGTCTAAATAAGCAGCACCATCTTCATTAATTTTCAAATAGAGCACAAAAGTCTCCTTACCATACGAAGCATATTGCTGGCTGGTGGATTCACTTTGGATCGGAAGTCATTGTGAGCTCTCACACAGTCTTCAATGAACTTTGCATCTTCTATGTCAGGCAAGGAATATTGGTCGTAAGTATGACAGCAAACAAAGAGATCAAGCAAGAACAGCACAGCAAAGAAAAAGGTGATTTTCATAATTCTTCAATGCTTTTGGTATTTTTTAAAATGTTTTTAAAAGAAGAATTGCTCAGGTGGAGTCGGTACTGCTAAGCTCTTCCTCTGTAGTCCTTTGGGTGTTGAAACACTTGAAAGTGTCAAAGCAACAGGAAGTGAAACTGCTTCCTAAGATGAAGCTCTGTCTGACATCACATCTGCTGGCTGTCCATGAAAGGCATCTGCCATGCATATCGCCAAGAGGCAACAATAAAGATATGACTCTGTCTTTTCTTTGAGTGTGCTTCATTCTGGTTGACTGCCAAGCTATTTGGTGGCTGTAGGTGCTAATCACTGAGGTGCTGCATGATGAGTTTGCTAAAACTTCTGCGAACCATAAAAATTCTACCTATGATAAAACACAGATCTGCTGTTCATCTGATTTTCTTACATCATTATTTTGCAAGACCTTTCTTCCTTCTCAGAATTATTCTAGGAATAAACAGAATTAGCGAAACTGTACATTAGATTTTGACCTCATTAGAAGGAAAAAAGTTCCTAAGCAGCAGGAACAGACCTCCTGACCTTTTGGTTGGGTGTATAGCAAAAGCAATCCCAGCCATGAATGCGTGTTGATTCTCCTTCAGTAGCCACCTGTGCTTATCTGTTAGGCTGACGTTATTGGAAGAGCCTTCTGTGCTCCCGGAAAGAGAACACTGTGGGATTAGTGCTCCTGGTGTAAAATTCCAAGCCTGATCCCTTCCTGGGGCAGTAGGATGTGCGCTGGTGGGATTTGTATTGTCTAATCAATCCTTCCACAAGCTGGTTAATTTTTTTTTCAAAACTGTGGTCCTCCAACTCCATCACATTTATATCTATCTATGCTATTAATAGGAGGCATATAACTATTTATCTGTGTGCACATGTATGGATTTCAAGCATTAGTAATTCTCCCCACCCATGTCTTGGCTCAGCCATGATTTGCTGACTGATTTCATGAAGGTAGGGCCAGCTGCAGAAAGCAATGGTGTGGTGGGCACCTTCTGGGGCTGTGGATCTTCTGGGAGAGAAAGAAACAGGGCCTACAGTTGTCTTTGTTGGCTATATTGCACACACACAAACTGTAAAAATAGAACACAAGTAGCATTCTAAAATGGCACCATCGATTTAGCAATCCAGTGATCTAGCAGTTTTATATTCGTGTAGCTGAAATGTGTGTGGAGACTGAAAAGAGATGCTTTATGAAGCAGGAAATCTTGGCTTATCCAGCATATTTGGGGTTGTAAGATGCTTTCCTGCAGAGTTGACTCTGGCACCATCTAGTGAGTCTATCCTTAAAATAGAAGTGCAGTCTGCCTACAATCAAGTAATGTTTTCACAAAAAGCAAATCAGCAGCATTATTATTTGGAAGAAAATTCCATAATTCCATGCTTAGATTTCTCTTTCTCACTTCATACCTCCTGCTTTCATTTTAAGATGGCTGGAAACAGAAGGTTCCCATTTCCTTTTTTTTTTCTTTTTTCTTTTTTTCCCCTAATGTATCATGTGGTTAGATAAATAAGAACTGGTGGACTACATACTAACAGAAGACCAAGATGTAAAATTGCATTTAGCTTTCTCCTCAAGTTATCAGCTTTCCCAGTGAATGCTGTTACTTGTGCTGAGGACAGAGACACCTATTTGTCTTTGACTTGCTTGATTCAGCTTACCAAGTGGGTGGATTTGCTAGGCTTTCTTGGTCTGCCCATGGGATATGCAGATATAAGATCACCTGCCCTTCCAGGGGTGTGAACAAGCTAGCATTCTGACATCTGTTGCTACTTGTATTACACAATTTCACCTCAGGATAGGGACTAATTGGAAGGATCATGTTGGTATTGCATGATTTCCACATGAATTCTTTTGTAATAAATTATTTTGGAATTATTTATTGAAAAGAATCACAGAATCACAGAATGGCCAGGGTTGGAAGGGACCTCAAGGATCACCAAGCTCCAACCCCCCCCTGCCACATGCAGGGCCACCAACCTCCCCATTTAATACTAGACCAGGCTGCCCGGGGCCCCATCCAATCTGGCCTTGAATATTTCCAGGGACGGGACATCCACAGCCTCTCTGGGCAGCCTACCATGTCAACCGCACCACTCAGCTTGGTGTTATCAGCAAACTTGCTGAGGGTGCACTCGATTCTGTCATCGATGTCATTGATAAAGAGCACTGGTCCCAAGACAGATCCCTTCAGCTATGTCCATCTTGACATAGAACCACCCTCTGTCTGTGGCCTTTCAACCAGTTCCTTACCCATCAAGTGATCCACGCATCAAATCCACATCCCTCCAATTTGGGGACAAGGATGTGGTGGGGGACCGTGTCAAAGGCCTTGCTCAAGTCCAGGTAAATGACACTGGCCGCCTTTCCCTTGTCCACCGATGCCATCACTCCATCATAAAAGGCCACCAGATTGGTCAAGCATGGCTTTTTTCTGCTGAAGCTGTGCTGGCTGTCACAGATCACACGCCCTTTCCTCATGTGATCAAGCATGTCATCCAGGATGATCTGTTCCATGATCTTCCTAGGAACAGAGGTGAGACTCACCGGCCTGTAGTTCCCGGGGTCCTCCTTGCTCCCTTTCTTGTAAATGGAAGCGACATGACCCCTCCTCCCGTCATCAGGCACCTCACCTGACAGCCACGACTTTTCAAATATGATGGAGAGTGGCTCGGCAACCACCTCAACCAGCTCCTTTGGAACCCTGGGATGCACGCCATCCGGCCCCATAGACTTGTACACATTCAGTCTCACGAGGCAGACTCAGACCTGCTTTGTCCTCACAGCAGGGGGGGGATTTACCACCCTGGTCCCCACCTGGAGGTTTAGGGATGCAGGGCTCAGGGATGGGAGAAGTACTGGAATCCTGGCCGCCAGTGAAGACGGAGGCAAAGAACTCATTCAGTACCTCAGCCTTCTCTTCGTCCGTTGAAGCAAGTTCTCCTTTTACATTTACCAAAGGAGGTACACTCGCTTTGGCCTGTCTCTTCTGGCCAATGTACCTGTAGAAAGTCTTCCTATTGTTTTTCACATCCCTCGCCAAGTTCAGTTCTGCCTGTGCCTTGGCCTTCCTGATCTCACATCTGCAGGTCCAGAAAAGAAAAGGTATATTTGTCAATTTGGGGGTAATAATGAGGCTATAAACAGACAATAGTATCACAGGATGCCATCATTACATGGCTGGACTGCAGATAGTTCTGATAGCTTTTCTGCTGTTTTGGATAGGGGAATTTGTACAGTACTGCTTACTCCAGCTATGCCTGGCAGCCTAACAGAGCAGAACTGCTTGCTGATTTCTCTGATCAATATACTGGGAGGCTGTAAGGACCAAAGTACAAGAGGCTGTTCTTTTGTTCTCCCAAAGATACCCCAAATTAGGGAATGGGGCAAACAATATGATTTTTGTGAACAACAGACAAACCAGCACTGAGGGTGGTAACAATAAAGTAAACAAACTGACATTTTATCAGTTTGTAGAAATATTCTTCCTGTGCCTCCCAGTACTGAGCAAAGCGTAGTACATAACTAGGCCATTTCTTTACTAATTGTCTATTGCAAGTATTAAGGAAACTTTCCTGACAGTTTGGATTTCAGTTTCTCCATCATAAGAAGCCATCTAAAGAAGGATTTTATCTTTCAGTAAAGCAATGGGAAGAACTGCTCCTCAGGAATGTCCACAGTGAACAATTTTGTGTGTAAAAGCTGCCTGCTTATGGTCATAAGTATATAATATTAGATTCCTAGATTTGAGAATGTAATCTACAAATTTTGAATTTGCAAAGTATGTTCCATATTTTAGTAATCTTTCTGTAAGAAAACTTACAGAAGAAATAGCTGTTGTATCTAATTAATTTTCAAGAAGAGTCTGGCTTATTTTCTTCAAGACTGTGTTATAATAAATACTTTTAATATATAAAATCAGTGGATTTACAAATACTAACTTATATAATAATCTGCAGTGTTTTAGACCCAGATTGTCCATCAAACACACAAAAAAAGGAAGCATAAGACAAATTATTTCCTAAAGATGAACTCATGGAAGCTTCATTAAGCTCAGATTAAGTTTCAGAAAATAGCAGTTTTTCAGTCTGGATTTTTTCAGTCTGTTTTATAATAAAGGTGAAATATTACCTAATAATAATGAACTTTAAAACAGCTATATTAGTATTTACCAGTCAAGACAATGACACAATTAGGAAAATCTACTTTTATTATACTGGTAACAAAAGAAGCTTCAGATTATTGTATAAATAACATTTTTTTTTTTTTTAAAGAAAGTGAAATAATTAAAGATTTGATCTGTTGGATATAGAAGAGTGAAATCAGTGTTGAATACAAAGGCTTCAGTAGGTTTAAAAAACAAGAACATTTATTATTAAAACTACAGAACACTTACAGGACAGTAAATATTCTATGCATCAGTAACAGTACAGTGTAAAGCATAGAACAGCAAAAGTTTAGAATTGAAACACAAGGTTTAGGGGAAGTTAGGAAAAAAGTAATAATGTGAACAATCTTATTTTGAATAAGGAACAATAAGTGCACAACTGAATAAATATCAAGTTGTACTATTTCACAAACATCAGTACTTCTGAAGAACTTCTTTCTAAAGAAATGTCTTAACAAATTTTACTCAGACCATTCTGTCGCTCTAGCAAAAATGACTTTGTATGTAATCTGATGCTAGCTTCCTCTTGGCATTAAAATCAAGCATTTGTCACCTCAAATATTGGCTTAGCATGAACTGTAATGAATTTTTAAACTGACAGGCATTTTTCTCTTTGAATTCCAAGAATACAGTGTATAAATCTGGTAACTAAACAGAGTTAAATACATACATTTGGCAATTAAAAACAATGCTTCTAATCATTAAATGCATCCTTAGTTTACTAATTTCTCAACATGGATCTTATCTACAAATAATTTTTAAATTTTTATAACATGTTAAGTTTTCTGTAAGGAGCATAAAATAGTAACAACACTACTTAAAAGAAAGCTGACATCAATATAGATTTTTGCTGAAAACATTAGAGATTATGTTCAAATATTGCATGTATTTCAAATCAATGTTTATGTGGACATAAACATGTTTGTAAAGTGTTTTCTGAACAAATAAATAGCTAGAAAACCAACAAATATCAGCAATGCTCTTGAAATTATAATAGCAATACACGCCTCATCACACACAATTCTGAATTCCCAAGGTGGATTCCATCTTGAGTAATCTAAAAATAAACATATAATTAAAAGTTTAGGTGAGAATACATACATTTGTAGTAACTAAGGGATATAAATAACAGTGCAAAATTGTAACACTTACAAACAATTTTATCACGTTCTTCATTTCCTGGAGAAAGGAAAAAAAAAAACAGTTCTATCAGGCAGCCAGAATTTCTCTTTCCTTCAATCTTTCCTAGTAAACTGAAACTTACCAATCAAACAAGAAAATCTGACAAATCTGAGAACTTGAATTTATAAA